AACTGGACCCCGCTACAGACAAGAACACGGATGCCCCGGACCCTGCTACACACAAGGACACGGATGCACCTGGACCCCGCTACACACAAGAACACAGATGCACCCGGACCCCTGCTACAGAAAAGAACACAGATGCACCCGGGCCCCCGCTACACACAAGAACACAGATGCACCGTATTCCCGCTACACACAAGAACACGGATGCACCTGGACCCTTGCTACACACAAGAACACAGATGTACCCGGACCTCCGCTACACACAAGAACACGGATGCACCTGGGAATCTGACAAGGCAGGACCACCAGTATTTTTGCGGCTCTGGTAAAGACGACTGCCCAGCTGGGTGCTGGTTGGTGAGCCCCAGCCTTGGGGCCAACTGTCAAGCAAGGGCCATGTAAATGCCCATCATCCTTCTGGCTTGCTCACAGATGGATCTACCATCCTGGCCACCTTTCTTTCCTCCCCTCGTCTCACTAGATTATGGGGAGGGTGTTGTGCTTTATCCCACAGGAGCCAGGGGATCAGACTGGACTGTGCCTGCCTTACAGGAGGGATGGGTTACAGACTGATTCCCGGCCCCCAGACTTGCTGTGGGGGGTAAGCAGCTGTGGTTCTTCCAGCAGAGTGGTGGCGTGTGGCCAACGCCCTGTCCCGGTCCTCTCTGGGCCCTCCTGCATGTTTCCCAGAGGCCACCTGGCCAGCACCTGGGGGAGGGGGCCACTGTGCGCGGGTGGGGGTGGGGAGCAGGACATGAGGGACATGAGGGAGCTGAGCCCCTCCTAAATCCCTTTCTTGCTTCTAAAAGCTAGAGGTAATGCTGATGTTTACAACCTGGTCTCCAAAATACTGAAGACAATGCAACAGTCTCTTTTTCTGGGGTATGATTTTACAAAGGTTGTGAAACACTTAAAAAAATTTTTTTTTTGAGGGGTGCCTGGGTGGCTCAGATGGTTAAGCGTCTGCCTTCAGCTTAGGGTCATGATCTCAGGGTCCTAGGATCGAGCCCCGCATCAGGCTCCCTGCTTCACAGGGAGCCTGCTTCTCCCTCTCCCTCTACTGTTCCCCTTGCTTGTGCTCTCTTGCTCTGTCAAATAAATAAATAAAATCTTAAAAAAATTTTTTTTTTTTTTGAGAGAGAGAGAGAGAGAGTGCAAGCAGGAAGGGCTGGAGGCAGAGGGAGAGGGAATCTCAAGCCAACTTCCCACTGAGTGCAGAGCCTGAGACGGGGCTCCATCTCGACCCTAAGATCATGACCTGAGCCAAAACCAAGAGTTGGACGTTTAGCTGACTGAGCCACCCAGGCACCCCTGAAACACTTTTTTAGAAAATGGTGTTGGCAGTTGTATGGAAGCACAAAGCCGAAAAGGGGAAAAAGGAAAAGAAGCAGGTTTCATAGTTCTTAAAAATGTAAACAAATGTGGAGAAAGTGGGAAACATTTATGTGAAGTCTTATCCTGTCAATGATTTCATTTAACGAGCTCCCTTCCAATTTCTGGGCAGCTGGAAGGTCAAGCACACAACACTTGAAGGGCAGTGTCCTGCCACCCGGCCGAAGGGCCCGTCCCGCTCCCGCCTGACTCACTCGCTCTTCTGCAGCAGCGCCTTGATTTCTGACTGCAGGTCTCTCTCGTTGTCCAGCTCCGTGCAGAGGCGTCTGGACACTGCCTGGAGGCGGCCCACGGCTGCACTGCTGAGCCGGGAGAGGGAGGTGGGGGGTGGCGTCAGCCTGGCCCCGGGAGAGCCCCCTGCAGCCGCCACCCAACAGCGCCTTCCCAGGGCGGCCTTCACCTGGCCTTTTCATCTTCCTGAGAGAAATCTGTCTAAACCAGCCAGCGGGGACGGCAACGGGTGTGAGGTCCTATGCCCGCTGCTGGCTGCTTGGCCGGGCACAGAACTTGCTAGACAACCCGCCCTGGTCACGCCACTGCTCACTTTCCTCCAGGGTCAGGGAGCCGGCTCCCCTGGTTCCAGCCCGTCGGAGCTGCAGGCCCATTCAGATCCAGGAAGGATCCAGCACACCCGCCCCAAGACCGTAAGCAGTCAGGTGGCCGAGAAGCCAGTGGAAGACTCTCTAGGTTCTGAGCCCACTCTGCATCCTCTCATGTCCTTCCCCTCTTGCGTCCTGGACTTGGGGCTGGCCAGTGCACTACGCAGTCATCCTAGCGCCCAGGTGTGTTCTGAGATAATGACGGGGATGCTGGGCTGAACAGGGTGGCCGGTGGGGCTGCCTTGTGGGAACAGCGTAGGCTGACACTGACCACAGGACCTGGCTGTGTGGATACCATGGATCAGGACCCCAGGCATGTACAGCTGGGGAGTGGGTCTCGAGCAGCTGGTCAGTCGGGCCATCATTTCCAGACACCTGGCCTGCTATGTCCCATAGCATCAGGTGGATTTCAAAACCCTACAAAAGAGCTTGTTTCTCCTGGCGGGGGCCTGGGCTGCAGCCCTCACGAAGCTATTGCTCCATGTGCTAGCTGGCTCCTCATCCTGTCTGTCCTGTGGCCCCTAGGACTCCCGCCTCCAGCGGCCAGGAGCCCCTCTGTCCTCCTGGGGCCAGTGGGGCCCAGTGTTCGCCTCTGTGGCTGGCGCCCTTGCCTCTCCTGGCAGCAAGTGGGACAACTGCTCTCAGACTCCAGCTCAGAGCGCCAAAGTCCCACTGCATCCCTTCTCAGCAGGGTGACCTTGGGCAGGTCACTTAGTGTCCCTAAGTCCCTCCAAGGGCTGCTGTAAAATTACAGGGCTGAAGCACATGGACGCCATCTGGCTCACAGGGGGACCTCAGGGCGCATCTGTGGACGCCAGCCCCAGGTGCACGCAGAGCTCCCAGCTGGTGTGTCCGTGCGGTAGCCATGCAGATATCGGACACCCTTGCCTGCCCTGCCCTGCCCCCTAGTTTTGGTAGTGGTACCACCTAGCTGGCCGTTCAAGGCAAAGCCAGTCCTGATGTTTCTTCCCCTTAGCCCACTGGTATCCCTACAGTGTCCCCACAGAGTGGCCCCTCTGTTTGGGCGCTCCTGGGGCTTTGCACATCCCTCACCCCCCAGAATGTTCTTTCCTGGTCATTGCAGGCAAGTTGTTTTTGTCACTCAGGTCCTAGCCAGGAGGTAACTTCTCAGGAGGCTTCCCTGGACACCTGCCTCAAAGTGATCACCCCTCCTGACCTCATGGCCATCAGCTTTCTTGTCATGTGATGACAGGTTTCTTTGTTTCCAATTTGGGTTGCGTCTGTTTCCCACACTGAAGGGCAGCTAGTCTTCCTCGTGTACCTAACGGCTGCAGGTGTTAGTAGAGATCATGGTTCAGGGGAGACTAGATGCCTCTCTGTGGCACTGCACTGGTGATCCCCAACCTCCTGCCCCCCTCGGCGCCCAGTGCGCATGACCTACGTGCTGTTGGCCTCTTTTTCCGCAGCCACCTCAGCCGACACGCTCGCCTGCTGTTTGGTGATGAGATCCATCCTCTGGCGGCAAGCACGCAGCTCTCCTCTGAAAGCAAGCCAGAATCTAGGTAAATGCTTCTCTGGAGTCCAGTCTCTCTGCATGCTCTGCCCAGGTGCCTCTGACTGTTACGCATCTTCAGAAAAGGACAGTGGGGCTCAGGGCAGTGCGAGGACTAGGCCCTCACAGACCATGTTGGCATTTCCCTCCAGCTCCTCTTGCCAAGGCTAGGGGCCATGGTCATCTGTCCCCCTCACCCAGGCCAGGGGCTGAGGTCACGTCTTCTAAGGATTTCTTTCACTTAATCAAGTTGCATGATCAGGGTCTTGGACATCTGTTTTCTGAAAGTCACCTGTGTGACCTCAGCCCAAATGAGAATTAACATGAACCAGCACAAATGATTGAGCTCAGACATGAGCTCATTGGCCATCATGGCCATCCTGACCTCATGGCCATCAGCTTTCTTGTCTTGTGATGACAGGTTTCTTTGTTTCCAATTTGGGTTGTGTCCATTTCCCACACTGAAGGGCAGCTAGTCTGCTTCCTCCTGTACCTGGAGGTTTCTTTGTGTCCAATTACATTGTGTCTGTTTCCCACACTGGGCACCAGGGAGAGGCCTGGGAGGGCTGTGCACAGGGCACACAGCTGTAGCCCCTCCTCAGTGTTCTAGAACTCAGAGAACCAACAGGACAACCAACCAATGTGTGGGCCTGGACTGAATTCCGATTCAAAACTCTAGCTCCTGTGATTAAAACAGCAGAACCAAACTAGTTCTAAACGATGCCTGGAGGACACGCAGGGAACTGCCCTACGGATGGGTATGCGGTGGCAAGGAGATGTCCGTTTCCTTAGGGGAAGTAACCAAGCCAAGGTTCTGCACAAAGATGTTTTTGTATGTTTAGTATTTAGGAGTAAAGTATTGTGATTTCTGCAATTTGCTTTCAAACAACTTAGCAAAAAGAAATCACATAAATGCACACATACACAGAGAAAGAAATGACAGGAAAGGGTTAACAGTGGTGTACGGGTAATAGCTATAACCATTTCCAAAAGTTTCCAACTTTTCTGTATGTTTCAGCTTTTTTTCACAGACATTTGGGGAGCACGCTGAATCAGTGTTAGTGCTGATGGAGCTGGAGGGTCCTGTAAGGGCAGGACTGGACCATCTGAGGGCAAGTCCCACCCAGACAGGTCACCAGCCAGGCCCAGGCCCAGCAGGAACAAAGTGGGTACCTTCTGCATGCTTTACGTGACAGCCCAGAAGGCAGGAGGAAGTCTGTCCATCAAGGATGGCCAAGGTCCCTCCTGTGGGGCCTGTGGGGTCAGCAGGGTGAGAGGGCTGGCCCGATCAATGCCTCCTGGAAAAAGGGTACCCCGCCCACCGCCGCTCACCCACCCCCCACCGCCGCTCATCACCATGCTGCCTTGTTCCCTGCTCGCCACGCCCACTGTAGCTCCCTCCCCGCAGCCTATCATCGCTTGCCACGCCCACCGCTCTCTCCGCCCACCATCGGTCGCTCCACCCACCACCAGCCCTGTGCCACCTTGCCCCGCCCACCACAGCTCACTCCCACTGCTGCTCATCCCACGCACCGCCTTCACCACTGACCACGCTCACCCCGCCCACTGTGGCTTGCCCCACCCACTACTCCGCCCCACCCACCGCTCACCACAGCTCTCTATGGCCCCGCCCATCACCACTCGCCACGCCCACCACTTACCACGCCTGCCGCCACGTGTGGCGTTCACCATTGTCCCCCCCACGCCCCCCTTCCGCCCACCAGCCAGTCCGCTCACCACTAACTTGGTTTTCTTTTCTTTTAAAATTTATTTGAGAGAGGGAGAGAATAAGGGGGAGGGGTGGGGAGGAGGGTCAGAGGGAGAGGGAGAAGCAGATTCCCACTGAGCACCGAGCACCAAGCAGGTGGTCAGGGAGCAGGTGGCGGGCGGGTCCCTGGGCCAGTGTGGTATTTGATCCCAGGACCATGGGATCATGACCTCAGCCCGTCAGACACTTAACTGACTGAGCCACCCGGGCGCCCCTCACCTGGTTTTCTGAATGAAAAGCTCTTTCTCTTCGCGCAACTTCTCTAGGTGGCTCAAGGTCTTTCGCAGGTGGCATGCCTGGAGTCCATCTGGGATGGCTGTTTTCTTCTTACTTATATCAGCATCAGCGTTGTGCTGTTTCTCTGGGCTTAATGTAGAAAGGACACCAACTGCCCTCGCAGCCCAGCTCCACCTTTCTGCAGAGGATGCCCAGGCTGGGGTGGGAGGAAGCGAGCTGCCCACCCAGATTGATTACCAGAGGCATCCCGAGTCAGCACTGTTCCCAGCTTCTTGAGGAAGAAATTCAACCTCAAACTCTGGATCCTCTAGTTCGTCTCTTTCTAGAAATTGAGGCAAGAGAAAAAAACAAAAAGCAGATACAGACATTCAAGTCTGAAGCACTGGTATAAATCTAGACAAGCTCACACTGATAGGCAATGATGCTGATGGTGTCTTAGAGCAATGGTTCTCAAAGTGTGGCCCAGGAATCCCTGGTGGGAGTGCCTAAAATCCTTTCAGAATGTCTGCAAAATCAAAAACTATTTTCCTAATAATACTAAAACATCATTTGTCTTTTTTAATTCTCATTTCGTAAGTGTACAGTGGAGTTTTCCAAAAGGCCACATGATACATAGTATCACAACAGACTAACATAGATGGAGATATGAGAATCCAACTGTCTTCTGATAAACCAGATTCTTTGTTACATATAATAGGTTTAGTTTTGCTAATTTAAATGAATAAATATAAAAAATTCTCAGCTTTAATATTTAATACAGTAAATTTTAAAAGATACAATCAACATAAAAGCTCTTTGGGTCTTCAAGAATCTTTAAGAATGTAAAGGGGTTCTCGGACAGAAAACTTTGAGAAATATTGTCTTAGAGAATCTCTGTAGACTTCCAGCAAAACATGGCCAATGGAAATATCCAATAGCATATATTGCCACTCCTTCATTAAATCTCAGTGAAAATGATGGGAAAGGAATTTAAAAAGGCATCAACGCAAATCACAAGGAACACGGGAAAGAAAGTGGACAAGAAAATCCTATACAATTTTAGAAGATGGAAAGGTGGGCACTGATTTACCTCACGACACTCCACCATACCTCACCTCACAACTCCTCACCTCACCATACCTCATCTCACCCAACTAACCTTACAATACCATACCTGACATCACCACACCTCATCTCACCTCACGTCACCATACCTCACCTAATCTCACCTCAACTCACCTCACCTCATCTCACTCACCTCACTACACCACACCTCACCTCATCTCACCACACCTCACATCTCACCTCACCTCACCTCACAATATACCTCACCTAATCTCACCTCACCTTACCTCATATCCCACACCTCACCTCACCTCACCATACCTCACCTAATCTTACCTCACCTTACTCATATCCCACACCTCACCTCACCATACCTCACCTTAACTCACCTCACTTTGCCTCACCCCACCTCACCTCACCTAGTCTCACCTCACCTCGCCTCACCTCATCTCACCTCACCTCACTACACCACACCTCACCTCACCTCACCATACCTCACCTCAACTCACCTCACCTCACCATACCTTACCTCATATCACCACACCTCACCTCACCTCACTTTACCTCACTTCACCTCACCTCACCATACCTCACCTAATCTCACCTCAACTCAACCCACTGCACCTCATCTCACCTCACCTCACCATGCCTTATACCATCTCACCATACCTCATCTCACCTCACATCACCACGCCTCACCTCATCTCATCTCACCTCACCTCAACTCACTTTACCTTACCTCACCATACCTCAATAATCTCAACTCAACTCACCTCACTTCATACCACCACACCTCACCATACCTCACCTAATCTCACCTCACCTTGATTCATCTCACATCATCTCCTCACCTCACCTCACTTCACCATACCTCACCTTACTTCACTTCACCATACCTCACCCAATCTCACCTCACCTCATCTCACCACACCTCACCTCACATCGCCACACCGCACCTAATCTAAATTCACCTCACCTAATCTCACCTCAACTCACCTCACTTCATTTAACCATACCTCACCTCAATCACACCTTACCTCACCTCACTTCACCATATCACAACTCATTTCATCTCACCACACTTCACCTCACCTCATCATACCTCACCTTACCACACCTCACCTCACTAAACCTCAACAAACCACAAACCACACCACACTACACCATGCCTATCCTCACCTCAATCACCATACCACATCACTCCACACCTCACCTGACCTCACCTGACCTCACACCACCACACCTCACTTTACCTCACCTCACCCCACCTCACCATACAACTCGCCTCATCTCACCTCACCACACCTCATCTGACCAAACCTCACAACACCACAAACCACACCACACCACACCATGACTCATCTCACCTCACATCACCATACCAAACCACTCCACACCTCACCTCATCTCACCACATCTCATTTTACCTCACCACACCACACCTCCCCTCACCTTGCCTCACCACACCTCACCCCACTACACTGCGCCTTATCATACCTCACCCCACCACACTGCACCTCACCTCGCCTCACCTCACCTTACACCTCACCATACTTCACCACACTTCACCTGACCTCACCACACCTGACCTCACCAAACCTCACAACACACAAATCACACACCACACCATGCCTCATCTCACCTAATATCACCATACCACACTCCACATGTCACCTCACCTTGACTCACCACACCTCACCTTGCCTCACCTCACACCACACCACACCTCACCTCACCACACCACCTCACCTCACATCACCATGCCTCACCTAGCCTCAGCTCACCTTACCACACCTCACCTCTCCTCACCTCACCACACTTCACCTGACCTCACCACACCTGACCTCACCAAACCTCACAACACCACAAACTACACCACACCACACCATGCCTCATCTTATCTAACACCACCATACCACATTCCACATGTTGGCTCAACTCACCTCACCAAACCTCACATCACCACACCTCACCACACCTCACCTCACCTCACCACACCTCACTTCACCTCATCTCATCTCACCTCTTCTCACCATACCTCACCTCATCTTACCTCAACTCACCTCACCTCATCTCACCTCAGCTGATCTCACCACACCTTACCTTACCTCACCACACCTTACCTCATCTCACCTCATCACACCACAACTCACTTCATCTCACCACATTCACCTCATCATACTTCATATACCTCACATCAGCTCACTTCATCCTACCACATCTCACCACACCTTACCTCACCTAATCTCATCTCATCTTACCTCCACTCACACCTCACATCTCACCACACCTCACCTCGTCTCCCACACCTCACCTCACCTAACTTCCCCTCACCTCACCACATCTCACTTCATTTCACCACACCACACCTCACCTAAACTCACTACATCACAACTCACTTCATCTCACCACACCTCACCTCACCTCACCATACCTCACATAATCTCACCTCACCTCATCTCACCTCGCCTCACCACACTTCACCTCATGACACTGCAAAGCACACCACACAACACCATGCCTCACCTCACCTCACATCACTATACCACACATTTCACCTCATCTCACCTCACCACACCTCACCTCACCAACCTCACAACACCACAAACCACACCACACTACAGCATGCCTCACCCCACTTCACATCACCATACCACGTGACTCCATACCTCACCTCACCTCACTTCACCACACCTCACCTAATCTCACCTCACCACACCTCACCTAATCTCTCCACACCACACCTCACCTCACCACATCTCACCTCATCTCACCTCACCACACCTTATGTAATCTCACCTCAACTCATCTTACCTCATCTCACCATGCCTTACCTCATCTCACCATACCTCACATCAGTTCACTTCACCCTCCCACATCTCACCACACCCCACCATACTACACCTCACCTCACCTGACCACATATCACCTCACCATAACTCACCTTACCTCACCTAATCTCATCTCAATTCACCTCACCTCACCATGCCTCACTTCACCTCACCTCACCACACCTCACCTTATCACACCTCACATCAGTTTACCACACCACACCTTGCCTCTACTCACCACACTTCACTTACCTCACTTCACCACACCTCACTTACCAAACCTCAAAATACCACACTTCACCTTCCCCACCTCACCACATCTCACCTCGCCTCACCACACCACACCTCACCTACCTGACCTCATCTCACTACACCTCACCACACCTCCCTTCCCCTCATTTCACCTCACTTCACCTTACCTCACCCATCTCACCATGCCTTACCTCACCTCACCACACCACAAACCACACCACACCACACCATACCTCACCTGATCACACCCCGCCTTCATCTCACCTCACCAAACCTCACTTCACATCACCACACCACACCTCACTTCACCTCACTCACCTCAGTTCACCTCACCACACCACACTTCACTACACCTCACACCACCACAAACCACACACCTCACCTCACAACTCACTACACCTCACCCACCTCACACCACACCATACCTCACCTCACCATACCTCACCTTACCTCACCACACACCTCAACCTCCCCTCACCACACCACACCTCACCTCACCACATATGAACTCACCTCACCTCACCATACCCCACCTCATCTTACCACACCTCACCTCACCAAACCGCACTTCACCACACCTCACCATACGTCACCTCACCACACCTCACTACACCTCACAACACTGTAAACCACACCACACTATACCTCATCTTACCATATCTCACCTCACCTCACCAAACTTCACCTCACATCACCATACCCCACTCTACACCTCACCTCACCTCACCAAACCTCACCTCACCAAACCTCACTACACCTCACAACACTGTAAACCACACCACACTACACCTCACCTTACCACATCTCACCTCACCAAACCTCACCTCACATCACCATACCACACTCTACACCTCACCTCACCTCACCAAACCTCACCTCACCAAACCTCACCTCACCACACCTCACTTCACCTCACCAAACATCACCAACCCTCACAATACCACAAACCATACTGCACCTCATGTCACCTCAGGTCACCTCACTTCAACCCCGCTCACCTCACCACACCGTATCTCACCTCAGCTCACATCACCATACCATGCCATACCACGCCTCATCCTCTCACCTCACCTCACTAACCTCACCATACCTCACATCAGCTCTCCTCATCACTCCTCACTTCATCACACCTCACAATGCCATAACTCATCTCACTTCATCTCACTATACTTCACCACACCTCACTCATCTCACCACATCACACCTCAACACATCTCACTTGATCACCTCACCCCACCTCACCATACCTCATATCACGTCACCTTGCCTCACCTCACAATACCTCACCTAACCTCACCTCACCTCACCTCACCATGCCTCATTAAACCTCACTTCAGTACTGAGAAAGGAGCCATGCTGGGGTTAAATGGAGGACCAAGGAAATTAGTCCAGGTTGGACTGGCCTGCCTGATGCCCAGCACTAGCCCAAATCAAAGCATATCTTAGAAAAATTTGAGATTATCAGTGATTTTTTTTAATCTAACAGCTTTCAGGGAAAGAAAACAAAAATAGGTCATATTCAAAGGATTGGGATAAAAATGGCATCATATTTCTCAATAAAGATGTTAGAACTAGAAAACTGTGTTCTGCTACTTTCAAGATTCTCAGCCATAATTTATCTTTCTTTCAACTAAAGACAGAAAAATATAAGCTCCCTCTTTGAGAAAAAAATGTAAGCTTAAAATATGTAGTCTTTCTGAAGAAAAGGAATTAAGGGAAACTATGAAGCACATCATTTATCTTCATTGTTGCTGAAACACCTATTATTTGTGAAAAGACCTTATTACCATTTTCCACAAGCGGGACATTGTCCAAAAGCTCCTTCTTAGGAAATAGGCTAGCATCTTCTTCCATCTTGGGAAGCAGAAATTATCTACAAAAAAAATTATTACAGATATAGATGAATAAGGTCACAGTTTAAAAAAAACATAAATATTGGATTTCATAAGAATTAATAATTTCTCTTATAAAAAGACATTAAGAAAATGGATAAGCCACAGCTTAGGAAAAATCATTTGTAGCACATAAACCTGACAACAGTCTTATATCCAGAATATATAAAGAGCCCCTAAATATCAACAATATAAAGTCCAAACTCCGGGGCACCTCGGTGGCTCAGTAGTTAAGCGTCTGCCTTCAGCTCAGCTCATGGTCCCAGGGTCCTGGGATCGAGCCCCACATCAGGCTCCCTGCTCCGCAGGAAGCCTGCTTCTCCCTCTCCCACTCCCCCTGCTTGTGTTCCCTCTCTC